ATATATATATAAAGCATTTTTCATAGCAGCCATTGCATATATAGTAAAACAAGTCCATCTGAAGTCCATGCTGCAAAACCCAGGCCAAGCAGCGTCCATCCTCTTCCGAGAAGAACACCCGTACCGGAGCCCGGATTTCAGGAATGAGGAGTTCTGCTGCCGCCGACAGCGGAGACGTTGCTGCATCTTCTGCCAGTACTTATTGCCCAGACCACCTAAGTGCACAGGGTTTTTTGGGGAGAAATGCCGTGATGTGGAATCACCTCGCAGTCTCCCAGCTCGCCTCCAACACCCGAATCAGGCCAATGCCGCCTTCTAACAACAACAAAAAAAAAAGGCGGAAAACGTAACGGAATGGCTTAAAACTTGTTAACACGAGGCGGGCCGTGGCTGTACCCCACGGCGTTTGGGGACACCGTCCCTCCTCACACGGCTGTGGGAAGCCCGGTGAGGGGCATGGAAGCACGAGGAGGGGGCGTCGTGCAGGCCAGGGTTTAATAACTCATATTTAGTTTGTTTTTGTTGAGTTCCCTTTCCAGGTTTCCTATCAGAGTATCAATACTTTCCTGCAGGTCCTTGAGGTTTGCTCGGTGATCCACCGCCGAGTCTATGGCTTGCATTGTCAAATAGCTCTGAAACGTCTGCTCTCCGGGGATGGGCTGCGGGCGTCCTCCCGGGGCATCCGACTCCTCGGCTTTGCTGCTGTCATCCCCGCTCTCCGTATCTTCCGAAGGGACATCATCGTAGTCCGCCTCGCTCAGGCAGTCTTTGGGGTTTAAGAAGTAGTTCTCCCCACAACCACTCCAGTCTCCAGCGTAGCGGTTGCTCGACGGGCTGTCTAGCCCTGCTGGCCTTGGTCTGAGCACCCCAGACATCTCGGTCCCGCTCAGATTCAGCATCTGAGGTCTCGGCCTCCTGGGTCTCAGGTAATTCAGGGAGGATGGGCGCTCGGGAAACGCATTCAGATGTGCCGGTTCTTTGGCAGGCGAGGGATGTACTAGAAGAGAGGAGAAGTCAAACCAGTCAGGACTGAATCCGTGCTGCAACAAGATGCCCACTGTCCTCCCTCGAGATGTCACACGCTAACAGCATGCATGAATACGTGCAAGCTTACAGCCAACTCATTCCATTACGTTTTCTGCCACTGTTTGATATAAAATAATTCGGAAAAATACTGTAAAAGCTCCGTTTTGAAGATTCATGCCAGGCTCAAATTGCAACGGAGAAGCCTATCGAAAAGTAAAAACTCCCAGAGCACCGATGAAATTCGCCGCGTGAGTGAATCACCATCCGGCTCTGGGTCAACGGAAAGCAAACAGCTCAGCTCACACGCTTCGTCCAGGCTAAAGGAGTAACAGAAAGCAGGCACAGCAAAAGAGGTTAACACACAACAACAACACCACCACCACCACCGCTGCTGAGAAACACCTGGAGAAGCCCAAGACGCACCGAGAGCCGAACTCTCGCGCTTCCCTTTTGCCCTCCAGTTCCGCGCTATTCAAGCGGCTCGTTCGCGTTCACTGTTCGGAGCAGCCACAAGCCCGTGTCAGGCGCACGCTCGGACAGGTTTGGTGGCAGCGTTACCTGAGCTCACCGTTACACAGCGTAAGTTACTAACAGTCTCCTCCGCTGTTACCGGCTTCCTACGGTAAACAGCACAAATATTTTTACTGGCCTGCGCCTACGGAGCTGCAAAACTTCTCTTGGTTTGACACAGACCATTACCTCCCGTAATTAGCAGCAGAGACTTTCTGCTCCCCTTCAGAACAATCTCACTTAGCCTCCTTTTACGTCTTGCACAGTAACAGGCGATAACTATCGGTAATTCTTCATCCCCCTTCCTGTAACAAAAGCCCTTCTGTTTAGACAGGGTTCCATTAAGACGAAGGGCCATGGGTTAACAATAACTTGCCAGTCTTACACGGTCTAACCCAACAAGGACTATTTGTTTTTGGTTGGAAAAACACAGAAATTGAAGTGCTGCACAACATGTTGATGATCAAGCTCTCTCAATCTACAGAACATTAACTCTAAGGCACCAAACTGCGATCCCTCCGTCGGGTCCAACTGTTCTGTTCACGCTGAATGGTGCCCGCCTGCTCGCACCTCTGCGTTCGTGTTTCCCCTCCCCTGTAGCACAATGTCCTGCACAGCTCTTGCAAGCCAAGGGATAGCGTTCAGCTTTCTCTTCAAGGCGAAGGAAAACTCTACTACTTACCCTGCTCCTGCCCCTATTACTCCTACGGGCAGAGCTACAACTACCTGCTGCTCCTCCCCACAGCAGCCACGCCATAAGCCATCCCCAGGGTTTCACAATTAGCTCCTGCGCAGGATTTGCTGCTCGAACAGCTCTTGAGTCTCCCTCTTCCTCCACACCCCCATTTCCCACCTCTCCTGCACGGGCTCACTGACCTGACTGAAAGCTTCTTTTCATTTTTGGCGGTCAGCAGCTTTGGGGCTGCCCAGCTGCAGCTGACAAGGGTGCAGAAGCGTCCTCCATCGCCTCAAACCCATCATGAAGCTGCACCATACGTCAAACTAAGTCTCCCCTTGCTCTTAATTTCAGGCAGAGGAGGTTTCCACGAGGCTTCAGCGAGCCGAGCCGACACCCAGAGCGCAGTCAGCGTGTACTTGCTACGGTCGGCTGTCACGGGAGGTGACTCCAGGGCACGGCCACCACCAGGTCAGCAGAGTATGGAAAAAGAAACGCGTAAAAAGCACTGCCATTCACATCATCCACGAGCAGCTCTTCAAGCTGCCCAGCCAGGGGCATCCCTTCAGCACCTGCACTGGAGCTGCTGGAAAGCAACTCACCCGCTCAGCTGAAAATCAGGGCAGAGTAGTCAGCAATGAACTATTACAGGTCAGACTTACGGGGCGGGGCGGGAGAAAAAAATTCAACAACACAACTGAGACTATACTTGTGGGGTTCTTTTCCCTCTGGTACATTAGCTGTCCACACTGACATTTCCCCCAAACTCCCTTTTCCCATCGCTAAGGGATCAAGGCAGGCGCAGGGGCTCGCTGACCACGGCAGCCCGCGCCGCCGCAATCACCCCGTCCCGAGGCACGGCCGCTCTCGCCGAGGTTTGTGGCAGCAGGAAGGAGCCCAGCGATACTCCCCACAGGGTGGAAACTGCTGTGAGAGCAATGAAGAAGTAGCCCACGATGGCTGAAACCACTGTCTCGCCCAGAATATTCTTTATGCTAATCAGTAGCCATGAGAAACATTGGAGCACTTGAAAGACCTCAGGGGGCTATTAAGAAGCCTGGCAATTAGGCTGTGCTGGTCAAGTGAGCTTGCAGCCAGCTCTCTTCTTTCTCATTTGCTTCATTTGTCCTGATACTTCATCGTTTTACCCAAGAAAGGACTGAACCTTCCCTGAAAAGTCTTTCTCTCATAATTAAAGTAAAAACAAAACCAAAACAGACCCCCTGAAACACCCACCTTACAAATTCAAAATAAATCTCTAGATAAAAACAAGTGTTACTGGCTGAGGAGAGCAGAGAATGTTTAAGCTCACCCCTGTATGCAGCGTAGATTCCTATATTTTTTCGTAATCAGAAAAACCTCTTTAATTAACAGCAAGATCATACATCTTACATAGTTTGATTATGAACTACTAAGACAAAGGCTACATGTTCCTGTAGCTATCTTGCACTTTGCTAATGCACATTCATGTCTAGGAACAGACCACAAACCCAGGCAGTTTGGGTTTTTTTTAATTATCGTATAGAATCTGCCAGATACAGATTTTTGCTTACACGTCAGGAGCCCTTCCTGGGCCCCTCCAGAACAAAATGCTTCAAGAACCACCCAGCTAGGAACGGCAATTCCCCTTCATCATGTTGGCTTTGGGGGGAGACGATTAAAAAAAAAAAAAAAAGCAAGCCTTTTTCCCCAAACACTGTTTAAATGAGTTGGGGAATATTTTGTATCCTGCACACAGAGCAGCAGAGTCCCCGACTGCCTCAAACGCAGCCACAGCATCTGCAATTCAGTATGGCCAAGTCAGGCCCTTTGTGACCCTCCACTTTTCCCAGGTGACCCAAAGTCTCCCATAAAAAGCAGGTCGCCTCCTCAAGTAGAAATAAAATAAATTTAAAACCAAACCCAATCAGACATATTACTCATTTAGATTAACTGTGATTCCATTTCATGTTTCAATTGGTGCAGAAATTCAGCAGTTTCCCCGAGAGCAATTAGTGCATTCTGAAAGAGAACAATTAAGAAGCTGTTTAGATGAGCTGAATCTTCTCTTGAAGGGTTTACACTGCTCGAATTTGAGAAGTGGATATTAAATTATTCAGGTTACCAAGCAGATCGGTTCTCCACACCGTTAGCCAGACCCCTGTGAAATAGGAAGATGCTACAGCCCCGCACGACAGGCCCATCTTCTGCACGGCTAGGCAGCTTTCAACAACTGCTTGGCCAAAGGCTATCTGAAAACAAAACTAAACCCACCAGATCCAGCGTGAAGCTGCTTCACAGTATCACCCCCAAACTCTCCCCCGTGTAACTGGAAAGCTGCAACACCTTCGTCTGCTCCGGGCGGTGCTTGCGCAAGAGAAGGCTGCGGTTGAGCAGCGGCAAGGCCCGGGAATTCACCGCGGGCTGAAACCCAGGGCTCCAGACGTCATCCTGACTATTTCCACTGGTTTATGTCTCTCTGAATACCAGGGCGAATGTGAATACCATGCAATCATTTCCCATTTGAAAGGCAGATCTTAGCAGAAATAGTTACCTTCAGGTCTATTTTGGTAATTTATTAGGAAGATTAGAGTTTCACCTCCCTTCTTATCGAGAATCGACCCCAAATTGTGTGAAAGCGTATGACCTCTTCGGTTTGGCAGTGGGAGCTAAAAGGTACGTAGGGTGTTTTGGTTTGGGTTTTGTTGCTTGGTTGGTTTGGGTTTTTGGTTGCGTTTTGTTTCAGAAACATTTTTCCTTACGTAGAGCTCTGCAAAAACAACTGGAAGCTGCACAGCTCTTGCTGTAAGGATGTTCCCAACTCTGCCAAATTACAAGGGCAGAAATAAAGTAACCCTTTGGGTGTCTAGGAGACCAAACAACTCATGAATTCCATACACAGAAAATCCTGAACGGTCAAAGCAGGAGAGCAGAAGAAAAAACAAAATGGAACAACAAAAAAAACCTCATCCCAGAACCCCCCAGTTCAGGTGTGGAAACCTTACTGTCACTGGGCTTGTTTTTTTCTAGTGTCTTTACTCACATAAAGCACTCTTCACCAGTTCTGACACCCTACTCAAACTCTGCCAGCTGCTAAGAAAGCAATTAAACCCACAAACTTCCTTTAAAACAAAGTGACTGAATACAAAGAGCAGATTATAAAACTGTCATGATTTCTTTACATTAATAGGTGATGCCATAGTACCTCGTGTTTTAAGAATCCTGTGAATTAATGTACACCGTGACACACTAAAACCATACAGCCATGGTTTGACATTTTCCCTTGATCAGCTTCATGAAACGGTACCTGGCCACAGCTGGAGTAAATAGTGAAGAACCTCGATGTGTTTTTTGAAGTCCAGGGCGCTGGCGAGCTCTTCTGAATCTGTGAAGACTCTGTTGTTATGGTTGGTGGTCTCCTGCCTCTGGCTCAGCAACACGGGCCCAAAACATACAGCTAAATTCTGGCACGTCATCTTATTTACTTCGTGGTAAGAAGCCACCAGCTTGAGGTGATCCAACAGCATCTTCAGGGTAGCCTACAAGAACAAAATACTGCTCAGGAAACAACACACTAGAGGAAGGTGGTGCTGACATCCTAACGTCACTGCTCCAGAGGGATACGGTCACGGCTGGTAGCTACGGTTCTTCTACCAGCACCCATCAACGGAACATCTAAGGGCCCAATTAGAAAAGCTCTATTAGGCCATCACGGAGCAGATTAGCTGAGGCAGTCTTTCTGGTAAAATTCAGCTTGTTTCTTACCTCAGTTTTACATGGATGAGTTTTCTCACAGTGGAAAAGGGACATGAGGGAGGGGAGAGAAGCTGCAGAAGCAGCGCAGATGATCCATTAGAAAATAAAGAAACTCTCCATACCACCTCAGCATCGGACCAGGTAACTTCCAGGCACTGCGCAGGCCACTCACCCACTCTCTCCCTCCCCAAAAAAAGGGGCTAACTGGGGTTTTCTACAGAGGTGGATTTGGCAGGTAACAGCACACAGCGCTTTTACGCTGCGCAGTATGGGAAGCGAAGGCTTTATTGCAAACGCTTAGGAAAGAGGAATGCATTTGCCCACGTAGTTACGACACACAGATCAGAGAGCTCGACAAAAACTGAGCAGGGACACAGCACAGGAATCATCTTTGATGTACGGATGTAAAAGTAGAGATCACAGCTTTTCACTCAGTTTTACAGAGACAAGGTCAAAGGGAAACTAGAATAAATCCAGCAATGCAGACCCTCCAATTAATGACAGCATGGAAGCAGTTTCAAAAACTGGTGGAGCATCAAAAATCCGAGTGGACCATTAAGCCAGGAAACAGGCTTAATCCACATTCTGACACGTTTTGTATCCAGTGTGACAATGTCCCTTTATTTTTCTGAAGCACGCAATGAACTTGAACCTGCCAACGCTGCTCACCTTCTCAACATCTGGCAGGCAATCCAGAAGGGCTGCTGTGTGCTCAGAGTCACTCGGGTCATTCTCACAACCGCTGGCTGTCATTTTCAAGGGATTCTTCACCATGGCATCCAACACTGCTTCGTAGAGCTGCTTGGTTATCAGGGGAGAGGGGAGCTCTCGCAGATAATCCTTTAGGACGCCTTTGCAAGAGACGCAAGAACAGTCGCCTTTAACAAGCTGTAGATTTCACCTTCCAGCTATTTTTGGGAGCACTAAGGCATGTCAACTTCACCCCACCCAAGAGAAAATCCTCCGTGCCAAGGCAAACCCTCAGGAGCGAGGGGTGGGAGGGCGACAGCACGAGGGCCCAGCGAGCCACAAGTACGCGAAGGCTCCCCATGGGGTCAGCCAAGAGGCAGGAGGTACCTCTGCAACATCCCCACCAGACCAGGGGCACCAGCAGCCCTGTCCCCGCAGCCCCAGCAGCTTCTCCAAGCCCACGCAAGGCAGCTCCTCACAAACCAGGGAGGGAAGCCGGGGTAGGAAGGTGCGCCGCCTCCAGGGAAGAGGGGCGCGCGCAGGGGCTGCTGCGTGCGCAGGGGTGGGTACGCTGGGCGCGGGGTGAGCATCTCTCCAGGTCCCCCTCCTGATCGGGGCGAGGGAGAGGCAAGGGAAGGGCTCTTAGCAGTCCACCTCCTGTCCAAGCAAAGCAGCTCCTACAAACACCAAAGTCTTCAGCTTGATGACGCCTCCTCCTTCACACACAACCGGCCGTTAATTTCCCTCTTGGGTTTTATTCTCAGCTATAAAATCACGAGCAACCACCCCAGCGCCAGTGGCACGTTTGGGGGAGCACACCCACCAAAGCAAAACCAAACACGCCCTCAAGAGGGAAACACCAACTCTCCCCTGCCTCTGGGCACTCTGCACCCCCCAGCACACCACTCGCTTCTGCTGCGACAAATAGCCAGTGCCTCCTGCGGAGGTGAATAAAACACACGGGCACTGAGCCCTCCCAGTTGCAGAGACGCACCGCACCGTACCGCACCGTCTCAGAAGCTGGGGATGTGCTGGAGGAGAGGCTGTTTCCAGGGGATGCAACAACCAAGCAAGTGCCTCGTTAACCCCTATTCCTTCCACAGAGGCAAACAAACAAAAAGGAATTGAGCACTTACATTCCCGTAAGCTGGCTTCGGAGGCTGGCCGCTACCTCAGTTTGAGTGGGGTTTCAGTGATTTTAAGAATATTAATTAAAAAAAAACCCACAAAACATTAAGACTTCTAACAGCAGCCCGCTATCCAGGAGCGACATAGCCAGTACAACTGGCACAAAAAAGTGTGAAGGAAACAAAAGTGCCTCCCAGCAGCTTTTATTTTCCTTAGAAAATGCCTTCCGTGCCACAAATATCTACCCAGCTACATCATAACTGAATTTAAATATTTTGTTAAGAAGAAATTGGTGGATGACAAAACACTAGCAGGAGACGGTGACTTTTATCGGGATCTTTGTTTCAGCTGTGCTTTTTTAGGAGGGGGAGGCTGAAATCCAAATCAGCTTACAGTCGGAAATGGCATGTCGGAATCAAATCAGCTTATACTGTTGAAACACTCACAACCATCTATTAATAATCATTTGCTAGGAATTCCTGTAATAGCATCGACAGTCACAGGACTACCACCTGCCAAAGGACTTTCTCCTGTTTAGGCCTGAATAACAGGATGGTTTGGGAGCCATGGATGCCCCTTAACCTTTCTAAATCCTTTTGCTATTCACTCAGCTAGATTAGCCTTGTTAAGAGGCTGCTGTTATTTTTTTTTTCCACAAATCTACGCTTCCCGCTGCTGCCAGCCTACCAGCACGTTCCCCTTGACACAACCACACACAACAACTTTAGACAGCGAGCAGAAATCGCCATCCACTTCATTAATTCCTCATTTTTCTGACCCACTGAACTGTTAACAGCATTGCGTGCTTTATGGGGAGATATGAATTCACGTGGATGCAAGCAGACACGATGCAACAACACAACTACAGGTCAGTTCCAAAAATCAGCTGCACGCCTCAGTTTGAGCCACGAGCGCACTTAATTGCGTGTAAGCCTGTGCCAACCCCAAAAGCATTTCTCAGCCAAGATTTAATCATTAAACGTTTACTCTTTAGGCTTTGGAGAGCTGTCAAAAAAAAAAAAAAAAATCTTTTTCATCTTTTCAAAAAGGAGCGCTACTCAAAATTTCGAAGAGGACACAAGGCGGCACTTCTCTTCAAATCAGCCAAGATTTATGCTGAGGATTCATATTTTACGGAACACATGTTTCGGCTGATAAAAGCACAAACCATGTACATCCGCCTCAGCATTGCAAATACAGCAGTAAAACACCAGGGGAAACATTCCCCCTCCTCAAAAAAGCAGGGTTTTGCGGGCTCTTTTCTTCCTAGCACTAAGCACGGCGGGTGCCCCAGGTTTCTCAGCAAAAAACTGGGAGTCCAGCAGGACCCACACGGTCACGGAAAGTTCACCACCACCAATAAGGCTTGCAGCAGCGTATGTTGAAAAACTGAAGTACGCTTTTCTATTTAACCCACCGCATCATAAACTTGTGATGGAAAGATCGGTCAGGCTGCCCTGCCAGGGCTCTGCGCTGGGACCCAGCTCCCCTGCAGGCCAGACTTGGGTTTCCACCACTTCTGGTTGGTTCTGAATGTACAACGTACTTGGGAAAGATCAAAATGCTGAATATATTTTTTGAATATGTCTGAAAATTAAGTTCCTACACCCTTTCCCATGATACTCCTGAACTGTTTCTGCAAATACTGACTTATTGTAACGACTACTTGTAGCACGGGAGCGCAAAGCCATTTTTTGTTACTCCAAAATTAAAAAAAACACTACTAAAATTTCCCATTACCCAGAAGTTTACACTAACCAAACAGCAACCTGCCATTTGTCTGCTTATAAGTTTCTGCTGTTTGGCAGAAAGCAACAGCGTGGGGGGTTTTGTTCCCCCTTCTGAGTTGATTTACAAAAATCGGGAAGAAAACAGGACTCCAATAATTTCATGGAACGATCTGGTCTTCGAAGTTCTCACCATTTTTCCTCACTAATTTATTTGTCAAGAGAAGAATACTATCCAGTTTAAAAGATCTTTTCTGCTATTTACTTTTACTGTACACCTCCTCTTTAGAAAGGGTGTACCCCATCAGAGTGAAGCACAAGTTGCTGCTGCCGAGAACACTGGTACTTGGGAGCAACACTGAACCCCGCAGCACAAAGAGCCAAGGCAAGTAAGGCAAGTGAACCAAAAGATTTATTTAGCCCCATAAATGTCACCCGGTAACATCTTCTGATACCACTTTGCGTAATTATAAAGTGTAACAGACCAAATTCACTCCCAATACACTGACACGAAATGAACCACGAAACAAGGTGGAACCGTCCCATACAGCTGGATGCTGGACGCTGCAGAAGGGGCTTTGGCACAGAGAATTTACACCCTGACTACTGTTGTTATGTTTTCCATCCCTGGATATGGAGGAAATGAACGCTCCTGATTAATTTCCTGGAGCAATTGGTTTGCTCAGTGATGCCTGAAATTAGATCAGCTTTGCCTTACATAACAAGTATCAATAGTTATAAAACCGTTTGTTTTCAGCAACCCAAAAAACCCTCAATAACTGACTTCAAATCCTAGGAAGACACCCATGGGAAGCCCTGAGGCTTCCCGAGACCTCCTGTTCCTGTGCTCCGAGTCCCTCTCGCCTCTGCCAGGAGCTCGCTGTGTGACAGCAAGCAAAGGGCCGCTCCAGCGAGCGGGAGAAAGCTGCTAATTAATTATGTTTTAAAAGAAGGCATGATCAAACGAAGGCACTTCCCCACAGCTCTTACTAGCCTGCACAAGATAATGGGAGATCTGTTTCCAAAAATCCCGCTGTCTCCACCATCAAGGGAGGACAAGGGGTCGATCCGAGGTGGCCCCTGGAGCACAGGTGACACGACAGAGCAGCCAGCAGAGCGGACGTGCCGGCTCACACCCACGTTCTTCAAGAGCCGCTCCAATACAAACCAACAGCAGAGGTTTAACGGGCTCCGGGGACACCGGCTGCTTTGGGACCTCCGCCTCCCCCCTCTGTCACTGGTAGAGCAGCAGCTGAAAGCGGGTCCTTCCCTACCCTCCTCCCTCTAAATCACCGCTGCTTCACACCGACGCAGCCCCAAGGTCCCTGCGCTGGGTCTCACCTAACCTTCAGCAACACCAAGCAGGGAACGGCTTGTTGAACGACAGCAGAAAACTAGTTCGGAGCACAAATTCACCTCTTAAAAGGCACCTTACAGGGCACAATTGCACATTAAAAGAAAAGCAAGTAAATGTGTTACCTGTTATGACATTAATATCTGGGTACTGGCTTTCACAGAGAGCGACAGCCTTGCTGTCCCTCTCAAACGCCTCGCGAAGCTCTTTCTTAACCGCTGCCGAGCCGCACAACCGATACAGGCCGACCACCTAGAAGCAAAAACAACAGCCCCACGTCAGTCAGTTTTCCTGCAGAGGGGACCAACACCTGGCGCCACGTGCTGCCTCCCCCGGGAAGCGCAACGCAACCGACCGCTTGGGAAGTTTGTGGAGGGAACTCCACCAGTGCAAACCATTAACGTCAGATGGTTCTGTGCGGTATCAAACGCTTCACAACAGACACAGTAACGCTCGTGTTTTCCACAGCGGCGAACGCGCCGAGCAGGACTTTACTGACACAACATGAGTGTGAAACTGGAATCACTTACTGCTTTGCAAACTCAGGAAATAAAGAAACATCTATTCTCTTCTTATCCTACTCATTCGGACCATCATTCTTTTTCCTGGTTTAATTACTTACCTATACAAGATGGAACTGGCATTTCAGCAGAAAGAAATGAGGAGAAAAGGTGTTTTGAGCTTTATGTATACAAAATCACAGTATACCAAAATACAGTTGTTAATCATCAGCAGAAAAAAGCAGTCATACAACTGAAAATACAAAATGCTATAAATTAATTTTAAAAAAAACCCCACATTTTTCCCCACAAGATTAAGTCATATAGTAAAAAAAAAGTTTAGATTTTATTTTATACCAGTAACCAGAGTTTTAAGAAAATGATGAATACTCCATTATGACACCTATAATACGCTGTTTTAAAGATGACAAGACGCTGACTTCCACATGTTTCAAGTTTATGAAAAGTTTTATGCAAAACAGGGGTTATTTAACATGCTCAAGGTGACAGGAATGAAGCCCACAACACTTGGGACTGAATTACTAGTTAAATCATGTGCTTTCATGCACTTACATTTTGCATTTTATCATTATTTACGTTTCATTTTCATCAACACATTTATACAAAGCACCCCTATGATCTTAAGGAATTAAATCTTAAACATACGCATTTTATTTTAACTATAGGCAGCTGCCCTGAGCAGCAAACAGTTAGTCCAAAACTACCGTGGACTCAAAGGACAGAAAACCCCCAAACAACTGCAAAACCCCTGACTTAGGCTGTACTGACTTAGACCACGCGAATCTAGGTTTGCAAACAAGAGTATTTGTCCAGCCACATATTAATTCCTGTGGAAATAAATGGAAAATTACCCCACGGAGCTTGTACTCCGTCTTTCCCAAGACTGAATATGATCTAGGATTTGCCTAAGACAATTTCTTTTAAACTTTTAAAAGTTTCCTAACACCACATCTGAAATTCAGGTAGAGGTAACACACCACGACAGCAGTCTGCAGTCTACAGGAAAGTCAAAAATCACGTGGTTAAGACAAGAAGTTAACAGTATATTTTGCATTTCTGGTTCTCCCTGTGCAAATACACAGATTTCACGCTCAAAAGCGCCAGGTACATCCAGACAATTCAGATCCCCATCGCTTCATTACCAGTGTTGCCTTGATTACCCAATATCATTTGCATGACTAGGTGCTAATAAGCCCAAAACAGAATGCTGAAGCCACGGGACACCAACATTGGAAAGAATAAAACTTCCCTTTTCCACCGATTTGCATAACTTTAGGAGAAGCATTCACAACAATCATACAGTTACAATCAGCAGTGACTTTCAGCAAAGCAATTACATGGAAGTATGATTTCTCTCTATATTTCATGACCTAGGTTCTAACAGCAGACTTCATCTCCGAACACCTGGAACTACACCCAACCTGCCAGCAATTTAAAACAGTAACAGAGGTAAGCGTGATTACTTCTCAACTCCACCCCAGCAAGAACAGGTATAAAAGCAACTGAGGGCTCACACTGCTGTGGACCAGCAGGCAAGAGTCCTTCCACCAGTTTCAAATTAATTGCCCAGGGGAACATCCAACCTTAGGACCATGCATATAGCCCTTCCTAACCGACTTCTTGACTGACGTCCGTAACTGGCAATTTGTCTCCCCGCCCCGCTCCTCACCGTCCCTCAGGTTACATCAACCAATTGTGACAACCACCTGAAGAAAGGCAAGGAGCAGGGTGGTGGGGAAACAACTAATGCGGCCCCACAGGGTCTCCTCCTCGTCTGAAGGCCGTGCACAAAGTGATTGGCATGAGACTGCACACACGTCAGTCAAGTTCTGTCAAAAGACCCGTCCTCATCACTCTGTCGCTGCACAGGATGCCTCGGTTCTGGGTAGGAGGGAACATTATACTCATCTTTGAGGGTAGATACGTGTCCTTACAGAGCGACCCGTGTCTCAGGAACTGAGCGTTGTCACGTTCTCAGCTCTGCTTTTTGAGGGCGACTCTACCTGCTGGGGCTGCAGGTTCATTTCACCGTCCCTACCTACAAGCACCACTGCGAGCACCTCCCGTGAGCAAGCCTACACCTCCTCTACAAAGGCCAAGTTGGAAGCACCGATTCCACACAGTCCTGTTCATCCTCCCACATCGCAGTGACCAGCGTTTACCAAACAGGAGAAGCAAAGCAAAACAAATTGACACAAAAAGGTGGTTTGAACTTCCCCTTTCCCACTCACTGCTCACGCTCTGCAACAACAACTATCCCAACACAGAAATATTAACAAAACCGATTAAAACACACACAGTACCTGACAGCCTCTCTTTTCAATCTCCAGAATGCACTTCTGCATCAAAAGTGGCACCATCAAGCCTGCATTTTCCTTCTCCACAACTTTCCGAGCATCCACCCCGAACACCAGGGGCTCCCGATCGGCGTCGAGGCCATCGAGAGAGTTCTCCCACTGCTCCATGAGCGACAGCTTGACGTAAATAAGCCCCCTCGGTTCCAGCTTGACAGCCAGCTGATGTGATTTTGTCACTCGGAAGAGAGTCGGAAGGGCCACGGTTCCATGACAACACACGCGATTTTTCCGCGGGGTGGGTTCCCAGCTGAACACCACCAGCTTTAAGTGCTGAGCGTTTTCAATTTCGATGTTGAACGTGTGGTCCATGTCCAGAAACGTCGTCCTACACGTAAGCAGGGCTGTTCTTGCTTTGTTTACCGAGTCAACCTGTATTGCACAAAAGACATCTTTTGAGTCTATTCTTGGTGGTTTTAAGTCTTCAGCACCGTAAAAGTGAATGCTCATGAGCCCAGAGATGTACTGAGAGCACTTGGGTTGCTCAGAGAAGTTGTAATGCCTGAAGGCATCGATATCTATTTCGGTTTTACCACTGCTGCTTGGAAGGCTCTCCTTTCCTTTCCCACACTTGGTTTCAGGGCCATGTTTACCCGATTTTGTTATAAGCTCGGGAGAGTCGCCATCACTGAGGTAACCACCTTTGCTGAAGGATCTGGAGCTCCTCGAGCTTTTCTTTTTGTAGGTGTGCTGCGACGACACGCTGCTGTCGAGATGGTAACGACTTATCACGTTCCTGCTGGCAGCTGTGGCTGAGCTGCCAGAAGATGGCAAAGACACCGTGTGGCTTGTGTCCCGGCAGCCACCTTTCAGCAGGGAAGGAGGATTATCTGAGCTAGTATGGCTTGAAGCTCCCTTGACACTCAGCTTCCTGCTCAGCTCTGGCAGCTTTTTCATTTTCATGGAAAGCTTCCTCACAGTCCTGGGAGATTTAATTCTATCGGGGAAAGGCCAGTTGATTGATCCACTTTTTTTCAGAGGACTGGGACTTGGAGGAGAAACCTCTGTGGAGGGTATATCAGCCTTGTGTGCAAGCACAACTCCAGACCCTTCAGGAGAAAAAGAGAAGGAAAAAAAAAAAAAAATCATTTTCAAACCACTCAGTAACTGCAGTTTGCAGCACTGAAAAAATAAATCTTGAACTAGGGGAAAACATGTTGATTTGTCATAACTCGATACGCGCAATTCATTCAGACAACCATCATTCATTCATCAGTCAGATGTTCAGGAGCATTCAGAAAGCTCGGCTCTGCTGACTCGTTCAGCCAAATTTGGCAGTTCAGAGTCAAAAGCCGGATTTGTTCTGCTTCACGGAGATGAAAGGGCCCGAAACTACATATAAACGAATGAGCTCTCTCACCCGCTGGATTCAGCTCAATCCATTTGCGCTGTATCCCCCCTACAAGCAGACACGGCTGCATTCCTGGGGCACAGGTGCAAGGAAACCAGTCTTAAACGGGAAAACACTGGAAGATGGCAAATGCACCCTTGCCTGTGAAGCAGTTCACTACGTAGCCAACACATCAGCGTTGCCCACTAGAGGAAAGACACTCGTGTCTAGTAAAGAATACGCCTATACTCGTCTGCATGTCCCTCTATCACCCCAAAGAGCCATAATTCCCTCCTGTGTAGACACAAGCAGTGTCTCACACCTTTTCTTCCACTTCTCTCAGCTCCTCCTTTTCACCACAGCACAGAGGAGGAACAACACAACAAGGATTTATTCCTTGCAAAAGCTGCATTGTGCACCGCCTCATTCCTGCCAGCAACTTCCCATCTTTCCTGGCGCAACCATCCCATAACAGGGCTTAAAAAATAAAAAATACAAATTGTAACACAGCAGGCACTGATACTAAAGAGAGAAAAAGGAAAAAAAAACCCAAAAGACTCCTTCAATTTAGCAGTAAAAGACAAGTAATTAAGGAAGACGAACAGACACAAGCCAGTACTGCACACAGTCAGAAACCTGCGGTTCACCTCATGCTCCAACACTCGAGGAAATCCAAACGCCCAGGCAGAGCTCAAGCTTTTCTCACTTTCACCAGCATGAGGCAGTAATGACTGTAGGAAAGGGAATGAATTTACACGAGCTAATGAAGCATGCAAGAGGGGAACTGAGGCCAGAATGATAGATACTAATAAAATTACACGGGTACTTTCACCGAGAGTCACTTTTCTATCCCTTGAGAAACCAACAGAGGCTCTTGCTAGCAACCACCACCCCATTCACTCACCACTTTGCCAATTTTAGCAGCTCCCAAGAGGACTCGTGTAGCCTTGCCCATGCAGGCAGGGGTACTACGGAGCCCCTAAGCACGCTCACCCTATGTGGTGCAATTAGCTCGAGCAGCTCACGGAGACTCATACACCTATATCCATCTGTCTTTCCCCCCCTTGCTAGCCAGGGAAAGGGAGAGTCTATTTATAGCATATAAAAAAGAAAGAAGCATTGTTTTCACAAGATACTCAGCAAATCACACTTCACAGAGGTTTCTCTTACAGATTTCTCAAAGGCTTACTGCTTTAATTCTGAACTAAACACATCAAATCATCATACAGCTAGAGATTTTCACAACTTCCCTGTTCACCCAAATTAATTTTCAAAATTGAATTATAACTTACTTTCTATACTTCACTTAGCTCAAACAGTTCAATCAGGTGGTTTGGTCTTAGGCCAAAGCCATTTGTTGTGTTTTAGGGGCTTCCCCCCCAAAAAGAACCCTACAAAGACTAGTTCTAGAAGTTTGGCTTTAATAACATTTGCAGGTAGTTGCTTAAAAGAGTATCTTTATGAAAGAAAGTTTCAGTTACGAAGAATAATGCACAGAACCTGTTTTCCAGAGCAACAGAGGAAAATTCATTTAGCCCTGTGACTCAGGGAAGTAGTTCCCTCGCAGGGAAAGGGCTATTTCTCGCACTCCTGCTGCGCTTTTCTGGCAAGCAGCTAGTTAGAAATGTGGCGTTCGATAAAAGCGGACAAAGCCTTCCCTTGTACTGCAAACCCCAGCCCGGTCCCACTGGAGGGCTGGCCTGGAGCGCTCTATAGCGAGCGGTGCCGTGCTGCAGCCCGCTACCATGAATCCTCCCTTTCTGTCAAAAGTCTTTGGCACAGGCCAGCAAATTAAAACTTCCCCCCAGCTCATTAAAACTGAAGAGTCAACCCTCACACGCTGATTTCTTACGCGTCCAACTTCTGCGGCGTTCGGCACCAAACAGTTAAAATGAAATATGTGGCTGGAAGAAACGGAACAGCCGAGCGTTCGGCAGGCCGGTATTCCCATCAGCGCTGAGCCACATGTTGTTCCACTAAAGCCAGCAATGTGCTGAGGTATGCAGGCGATTTTACAGAGCGTACAGGACCCAGCTCTGAACAAGCTGCGAAAGGAGCCGCAGCACAGGCCGCTTACACCTCGCCTCCCAGCCCACCCACCCGACACGGCGCTCTCACGAGGGGGGCAGAGGCACCGAGCTGCGCCTCGCTCCTCTTACCGAGGGACGAGGTGACGAGGCCGTGCTGCAAACAGGTTCCCCGCCGTCCCTGTCCCCGCTCGCCCTGCTGCTGCACAGCCCATCCCAGCAGCTCAACTTTAAATATATCCTTAGGGAAGGATGGGAGGAGGAGGTGAAACGCAAGAGGCATGGGAATGACTACCAGGGCAGCAGGGGATAGTCAGTTTTACATATGAAGCTGACTATATATATATATGTATAATTTATTATTTTTTTTTACAGCAAGAACACTGGATCACTAGAACAACCTCCCCAGGGACATGGTAGAGTCCCCATCAGTGGAGGTTTTCAAGATGCGCCAGGACAGGGTGCTAGGTAATCTCATCTGGGCTCTCTTTCCCACCAAAGGTGGGCCAGATGATCTTCTGAGGTCCTTTCCAACCCGGGCTGTTCTATGACATACTGTCTTCACTGCATTTACCTCACGCTTTCCGGAAGCTTTAGCAGTATGAGTAGCACAGAAGAAAAGAAAAAAGGCTTTTGAAGGACAACGCAATCTGAGTGAAAGGGACTTGACGTTGGAAGTGACTGCCAGCTGTCCACGAGGCCATCACTACCGTCCCCTAGGTCGAGCAGGCTAGCGCTGGCAGCCCGTACCCCTACACAACACCGCCCCAAGGGAAGAGAGGACTTAATCTATCTTAAGCACTTACAACACTGAAAGCATCTCTCTAGAATAATGGCACTAGTGTTGAAGATCTAAGCCATTTCATTTTGAAAAGAGGAAAAAAAAAACCCACAGCTTACACTGAGTGGTTATAACTTTCAAAACCAAAGTCTCCCTTCTGCCTACATTTTTCACGCTTTTTTATTATTTCTAAAAATCAACCCAAGGACTTATTTGCATTTAAAAAAAAAAAATAAAATCAAAAAGCAGCAAATCAAAACAGAAAAGCACAAATATCTCAAAATTGTTCTCGTAGCAAACTATGGGTGAGTGAAAAAGGGCTACTGTTTTTCCGTGCTAGATTCCACCAGAAATACTGATCTGGATCCTCAACTGACACAAATGGCACGGCTCTACTGATGTCCAAGGTTCTTAACTTACTCGGGTGCAGGCAAATCATGTTTTTTCATCCAGACCTGTTCTGATACAGAACTTCAGAGCAGAACTGTAAATGGCACTAAGAGAAGAATTCATGCCCTATCAAATTCAAGGAACTTCAATTAAGACCGAAGGGAAGCATCACCTCTATCCACACCAGCAAGGGGAAAAAAAACACCTGCACCCCCTAAAAAACCCCAACTTTTTGAAGCTGAAATAGAATGGAATTATTTCTATGTAACACCTTAATTAATTATCTAAAGAAATGCAAGACTCTCCTCATTAAACCTGAAAAAAAAAAAAAAAAGTCTTTTTTATCCCTATAAAAATTACTTCCTTTGACCAATGCAGTCTGAGTTCTATCCCACATGATGCTCCAGAGACAAGGAATGGGGAAATTATTTAAAAGGTTAAAAAAAGCCTCCAAGAACTCTGTAAAGGTAGTTTGTTTTTCTTCAAATACTACCCACACCGACATTAATTAGGCTGCAATAAACCCACCAACCCAGGGATCACTTTTACAGGAGCAAAAGATATAAACCAAATTGCTTTGAACAGCCCATGAACGAAAATGGGAAGTGATTACAGCATAACCCCCGAGGCTCACGCACGCCCAGAGGTGAAGGGGCTGACCAGTGCCTGCTCTTCATCACGGCAGCGACCCACAGAGCATCCTCTACCCCACTAGAGCTCAGCATCTACAAACACACACGGCTTTGTCGCGGGTATTTTGAACGCCAGCGATTCTGCGGCGCCCATAAACCACCATCGGCTCTATTCACACCAAGACTTTCCCCCTTCCCTGTGTCCTTCATGGCATGAAAAGCAGCTTTGCCCCTATTTCCCCGGCCAGAGGATACAAACAGCTACTTGGCACAATTCAGAGACTGAAAAGGGCAAAAGCTATTTTAAATTAACTGCTCCCACTCCGCAGCCGCTACGCCCTTTCGCCTCTTTCACCAGCAGGTCTTTACAGCATTGTCACCCCACGGATCAAAGACACGTGCATGGATAAGCCCTCGACCTTCAAAAGCACGTCCACAAACTCCCCAAAAGCCCACGGACAAACTGGCTTCAGCTCTGCAAGAGAAAGAGGGAGCAGAGGGACCTTTCTGCCACACACCCAACCGTTCTGGTATCTCAAGTGTTATGCAAATATTTCGCACGAATGCTCCTCTGCCTCATGAAACCAAAGCTCCTTGCACTTGGAAAACAGTTAAATCACAAAGCATCTTCCATCTGGAAAAAAGAAAATTAAGCAAATAGTGTTTGCACCGTGTGGAAAGAAATTGGTAAAGAGATTTGCTGCCCAGCGTACTCTATAGACATTGCTGGAAGCTTATTTGCAACATCTAAGCACGCAAAACATTTGCTGCATTGACCCCAAAAAATGTATTGGGAAACCAGGACAGTGGTCATGGTCTAAGTGGAGAAAAGAGCCCCATAGTTTTAATGTGATTTAAGCCAAGCTCCAGTTGGTGGGTATTTGGGAGAAGGGGGAATATGGTATCAACCTTCACTTCCTACACCGTTGAAAAGAAATCTGTTACAGCAATCCCTAGGAGGATTCTCCATCCAGACAGCTACACACGTACATTTTCAGCAGCAAAAGCACAGTCCAGATCCCCGCAACCTACAATGCACAAGTCCTACCGGGGTGTCTCTGAGATACAGACCCACGGGAGATGATTCCACTGATTAGGTGGACACTAATCCCAACAGTAATCCCCCCCAAAAGCAAAAATATTACAAATTCCTCAGAAGGCACTATTCAGGGCTCCCTGATGTAAATCTATCGCAGGAGCTGACATTATAAAGGAGTGTTTTTCTTCAACATTTTGCAGGTGACAAACACCTATAAAAACGTAACAGAGTCCAGCCCTAAACAGTTGTAAAGAAAATTTACTTTAACATTTTATATACGCAAAAAACTATACACAGAATTTTTCATATTGCATTTATAACAAAAACATTCCTGTTTTCCAATCATAACCATTTTGCCTGTGCAAGAAGACATCCAATTTAAAACAGCCTCCAGGGTCCTTTCCACTGAAACTCTTCTCCCACAGACCTAAGAGCACAAGCTGGCGCTACGTTTCTACATTACTAACTCAGAACCAAGTTATCTTCTTACTCTCACTTTTTGTGTACTTCTTATAAACAAAATAAATCAATTATTCTCCCAAGCTCTGCTACAGGGGCACCTTATTTTTAATCAGTTTCTTTTCAAAAGCCAGCATGGCTAGAATTATTCGCTAAGGAATTACCTGACAAATCCTATTAACATAAATGGCGTTTACTGTAGAAAGTAACCCGATTAACACCAGGAACTAACGGTGTAAATTAAGACTATGGGGCAAATCAGCACCTCTACAACTATGATCCATTTTACTGATCACATTTACAGGAAATATCTATTTGCTGCAGTGTTTGGGAAGACTCCCAATAACTGAATTATGCATTTTTTCTTAATCTTCTGCCTAATAAAGACTCTCTCTCTCAAAAAAAGAACAAAATGAAAAAGAAAACAAAATCCACAACCATTTTCTCTCTACAAAGCTGGAAATCCAAATAAGGCAGCAATGTTTAAAGTTTTAAAGGTAAAAATGATTCCATTATCCAAAGAAGAAAACAGCAAATGACAAAATGAACAATTATATATGGCTTTTATAATGCCCCACCTTTTTCCATCTATGCTTCTCAAAATCTAATACTTGAGACTCTAGTGCTAACCACTATTGACATATGTAAAATCATATCAACAACAAAGGTAAGCAGACTTTTCCCCAAAGCAGTAATTGCTTATTTGTCAAGAGTTAACTGCTTAATGTACCCAGCTCTCTAAGAATATAGACATCTATTTCACAGCAGCTGCATAATTCAAACAAGGTCCTAACACAAATAAAGTTAAATTGGCCGTGTTGCCCTTCACGCAGTAATTTTGTATGGATGAGCTGTCATTTTAAATCTGACTGAAAATAACTGTAGATACCTTAACTGGATTAAAAAGAAGAACTAAGCCACTTCTCCATACTAAAGCCAATTACTGAGCAGCAGGGATCCACTTCATCATCAATTAATCTATTCAATGTGATCACTATTCCATACATGCAAAAGGAGAGCTGCACTTAAAACGCCTTAATTAACTCAATGCATAACAAACCAGTCGGGGGAAATTCATGACACTTTCCTCCTGATTTCACGAGACACTTTAAATGGGCAATTTTGCTTTCAGAAACAAATGTTTTCTCCGTATGAAAACAATTTTTTTCTGAGGATTGGACTAGATGATCTCCAGAGATCCCTTCCAACTCGTACCATACAGTGATTTAATTTTTTTTTAAAAGACATAGTCATCTATATTTCAAGAGATGAACCACCTAAATGTGGGTCAAACAGTTTGCAGGACACACGTGGCTTTCCTAAATAACCACGCTTACTAACCTCTCCAAAGTGCCTAGAGCTCCAGCACTGACAAAAATCTACCTAAGAACATGATATTTCATCCATCTTGCGAGCAAACAGAACTGGTCTAAGTTATTTAATGCAGCTATAAAGTGAGCTATTCCTAAATAAATGCTCGATAACTTTAACACACTTTGCAACTAAAAACACTCTTGTTATCTGCAGCATTTCCACAAAAAGAATAAAATGTGAGCTCCCAGAAGAGAAGCCTGAGTGTTTTTTCTTCTGCTGCTTACAGCGGTTGCTCTGGTGCCTTTGAAAACGAGCCCCGTTCCCAGGAGCACTGGGAATCTGGGCCCAGCAGCTCCCAGCACGCAGGGACACAGGGCCAGAAGCTCTGCCAGGACGGCGAGCCTGGACGGGGGCAATGCACGCCCAGGGTACGATGTCGGAGGGAACCTGGAATTACCTGTCTCCTGACCTTTACGCTGTTTCTATCTCTCAACAGAATACTAGAGTTAAGGTCAAGATAATATAAGACACTTTTCGGAAAGGATTGGGGTTAATTTTCCTTCTTATTTTTGTTTGGTGCGGTTTTATTTTTGGATGGTTGTTTTTTTTTTTTTTTCCATAGAGTGGGAAAAATCTGGAATAAGATGCCGAATTCACACGCTAATGGAATTATGGAAATGAGACTATCCAACACTCAGCCAAAGATAACAAGGAACAAAGAGGCTGGCTTCTGAAAGTGAAAACCACTCCTCTCCAGTCTATTAGATTAGCCTGAGACAGTCAACAAGACAGCAATTACAGAAAGCGACGTGATGAATAGCGTTTATGTTGTCTTCCAAAAAGTCTTTAATAAAAAGTCCCAGCCAGCAAGTTAAAGAAACTTCTGCAGACATTAAGTAGCCTCCAGGCTGGAATCCAAGTGAGGTGAGGGCCAAAGAGCACAGAAGACCACTACACCTGGACATGCCATGAGCAAACTCACTGAGAAATGACTACACAGCTCTGTGTTTAGCAGGTATCAGTCTCACAGTTCGAGTAGGTTTTTTTTTTGAGCTTGACATGCATTTCCACCAGAAATTCGCTTGATGAAGATAAAAGGAGGAGAAAAAGAAGAGAGAGACGCAAGAAGGGTTTATTATTCCTCTAAAAGAAAACAGAGGACATAACACTTTCACGTTCCTGACCCCTCTTACCTGTTGAAGGGCACTTAAAGGCAGGATTGTCCTCTACTGCCGGCACACTGGGAGCCTTGCAGGCGAACCTCTGCCGGTGCTGCGGCACGGGCTCCCCGGGATGCACGGCATCGGCCTGACTCACTTCGTTGGGCTGAGCCGTCCGACTGTTCCCTGCGCTCTCCGTGGAGCACGGGGGACCCTCCTGAGGTCCCGTGGCCATCCCAGAGTCACCCCCAGGGAGGGGGTTGTACCGAACCGCCGGGGAGCTCACGGCAACAGGGCTATCCACAGCAGAAGGGCAGATCCTGGGCAAGGCAGGCTCGTCATCTTCAGGGATGGGGTTGTACCATATTTCTCCTTCATCATCCGCGTCGTTATCCTCACCGAAGTCCAAAGCAGCGCTCCTCGGTGCCGCAGGGCTCGCGGCGCGCGGCAGGGCACCGACGGGAGCGCAGCTTCGCCGCACCGGTGACAGGGAAGGAGCCCGTGGCGCTGCGGGTTCCGGGAGCAGGATGGGAGATTTGGGTACCGGGATAACAGCCCCGTGCGTTTCCTTACAGGCATCATCTTCTCCCGGAGGAGGAGGAGGAGGAGGTCGGTGCGTGCTCTGCTGCAGCCAGCTGCGTTTCTTGGAAACGGTAATGCTGTTCACCGACGGCCTGTGCTCGGGGACCTCGCTGGCCTGGGGGCACCTCGGCTCCCTCCTGCTTCTCGAAGCTATGTAAACGTTTTCTATTAAATCTGTTCCCAGAAAGGCAAAAAGAGAGGGGAAGACAAATGTTTAGAATATCATTTTGCTTTTGACAAACACACATACATGCTGTTGTATGACGTTTGCCTTAGACCTCATCCGAAAGGACAAAAGATAAGTTGATGTGAACGTAAAATCAGATTTCAGCCTGTCAAAGCAGAATGTGCACATAATTATTAAAGGGTCAGGCTTGTTTGGCTGTATTTTTAACACCATGTAATTTAGATAAATAGCTGCAAGATAGCTGTGCTGAAAGGTCACGCATACTGACATAGAAATGGCCGCTTTTTTCTGCCAAGTTCAGGTACAATCGGTTTGAAAAGCTGCTACGTGGTATTTCTCCAGTTTACTGAGGCCAATGAAGAAACAGCCCCTGCTTTTGGTGTACTGTACTGTTTAAATGGCTATAAAAAACCCACACAAATTCTCTTCTAGTTTTATATATAAAGGTGAGGATATCTCTTGCACAAAAATCTCCAGAAAAGGACTGTCCTTAGGAGCTTTATCCTATAATGAAGATAGAAGCATCCCTTGATTTGTGGGGAATAAAACAAAACACACCATCATGAAAGGAAGGAAGGAAGAAGAAGAAATGTAGGAAAGTTTTCAAATACCTCATTGCACAACAAAAACTTCATGCAACACCTAATCAAATTCCACTGACTGCTCCCAAAACTTGACACAATTTCTTTAAAGCAACAGTCAAACATTTAATTATGCATCGAAAAAGCCACTTGCATGTGAGCCCCTTGTCAGAGCACGTCCAAGCAGCCCGCTCAGCAGCACTGCCATACCCTGGGGAGGTGGGACCATGCAAGGAGCGAGCGCCTCACCCCCGAGCAAGCACCAGCCCCTTCGCTAGGATGGAAGGAAAGCTGCAAATACATCCGAATTAAAAAACAGGGAACGAAGGTCTGGTAATCCTCACGCTCCTCTGCGGAGGAGGACAAGCCAGGCAGGGTTTGCTCAGCCACTAAGATGGAACGGGGATAACCGGGTTCTCATAAAACAGACAACCTGTTTTCACACAAAGCCCTCTGCAATTGGAAATTCCAGATGGGAGCAGCCATTTGATACCGCTTGAACATTACCCTCAGCAAAAAATTATTTACACGCCACTAACGGACGTTAAAATGCAGACACCCCTCCGGAGGACTCGAGGAGCAGCTCTGTAAATCCAGCTAAGTTCGCTGTAGACAGGAAAAAGACTGTCAACTTGAACACCTCCCCTTTGACCCTTTTTTGAGGTTTGTACACTAATGACCCAAGAGATCCTCAGTAAAATCTGACACACCACCATTTCATTTGATGAGAGATTCATCATTTGGTGATTTTTTTTTTTTTTTTTAAAGTGAGGTTTACCTGTTTAGCCACAGTGCCATATGAACACTGCTTGTGATCTGAAGAATTAACTTGGTTCAAGGAATTAACAAGACGAACTGCTAACTCATTTTGAAGCCTGTGCACGCCTCCATGGAAGTGCTCTGCCACACTGCGGCCTAAGCTGATCCATTAACAGAATCAGAGGAAAATGTGAAAGCTGAGCTGAGGACTCAGATCTCTGGCAAAGTTTCAGTGATTCGGCAGCAGCCAGACTCCTTCCCCCACCCATAGCCTGGAAACCTAAGTGTGCCATTGTAAAGGCTCCCCTTTCCACAATTTCACTACAATTTCAAGAACCAACCAAAACGATGGGGAACTCATCTGCAGCAGGCACAGGGCTATGCCTGCACTTCCCAGAAGTCAGTTTGGATGGGGGGGACTTCTCCGGTGGGCATCCTCCTGCGGTGACGACTACCTCAAAGCCCTGCACGGACAGCCCGAGAAGCGGTCCCTGCTCCGGTGACCTGAACAGATGGAGCATCCGAGAGCTGTATTTCCCCAAACAAAAATATCTGCTGCTTCCTGCTTTACCACAGAAACACAGGCCCTCCCGCGCCGGCTCAGCCAGCCCACCATTCCCAAAACAGCAGGCTCCTGAGAAGTACAGCGTGCCTAAATATACACCCAGCGGCACATCTGGCGCCAGCCGCGGGCTGCCCTGCGGTCCCCGCGGCAGCAAAGGTGCAGAGCAAACTCCACTTTGTTGTCAACATCCATCCGGGTGCCTCAGTAACAAACCATCTGCAACAACTTACCGCAGAAACATTAATAATCAAGTAGCTCCGGCGTACTCCAGTAACCCCACTGCTTGCAGAGACATGCCACCGAGCGCACGTATTCGAAACTACCCTGTCTCCGAAATCAGCCAACGTGCTGCCAGAGGTCACTGCAAGCGCTCGCTGAATCTCATCCAAACCATACACTCGCATGTACATCTTGCAGCTGCACTTTCTGCGACTGATAGCAGTATTTGCAAGCGCTGCTTCCCCTTTATTCGAACTTGGCCCTGATCCTGAAAGCCCTTCTGCCTGTGTTTATTTTAGTAACAAACTGTTTCACATGCAAGTATCTGCACAACCAGTGGCTCAGTATCACAGAGTGAGTTTTCAGCGTCGTTAGCTGTTTTAGGAAGGAGCCAATTCTAAATAAAGACAAAGCTTTTGGAGAGGCACAGGTCAGGCACATCCTTTTTGTCCTAGAGCAAAGTTTCATTCAGAGGAATGCTGCCTACTCTGTTAGTACTTTAGTGTATTTAATATATGCTCCAAACCAGACCAGGCCTCTGCACAAATATAGAACACGACAATGGTTCCCTTGCAAAAGGAAGGAGGAGGAAAAAAAAAGAAGAAGGAGGAGGAAAAAAAAAGAAGAAGGAGGAGGAAAAAAAAAGAAGAAGGAGGAGAAAAAAAAAAAAAGGAAGGAGGAGAAAAAAAAAAAAGGAAGGAGGAGAAAAAAAAAAAAAGGAAGGAGGAGAAAAAAAAAAAGAAGAAGGAGGAGGAAAAAAAAAGAAGGAGAAAAGAAAGAGTCTCAGGTGTTCCCTTCACCTTCCACTCTACAAAACCAGCACTCGAAGTTAAGCCATTACGGCAACAACACAGGTACGCTCAGAAACCAAGGTTTCAGTGTTTCAGCTCAACTGAGGTCAAAACTGATATTCTGCCTACTACGTGGGCACATGAAACATTTCAGCACGATCCTGTTCCCCGCTTTTCAGGCTGTAAAGAAGAGGGGAGCAGCTTTTTCCAGCCTCTCCATATATGGACCAAACAACTCGTAGTTCTTCTGCTTGCTATTTACACGCGTTTTGTTTCACCAGGTTTCCTAGCAAAAACTGTAAAATACAAGAATTATGTATTTAAATGGCACAACGGCAAGACTAAAAACGTATTTGTAAGACTCCCAGTGCACCTTTAAAACAAACAAGCGGCAAACAAAAGCCAAAGAGCGACGAACAGCCTCGGGTACGAAAAGGCGCCGGGATCCACACGAAGCCGCGCTCTGAAGCCAAAACCCTCTGATTTTAACGAGGAATTCTCCCTCACGAGACGCTGAGCGGTCCCGGAGGCAAAGATGCTACCGACGACGACTGCCTCAAGACCTAAACCCGAGCCGGGCCCCCACCCCGGCCCCCTCCCGCAGCTCTCCGGGGCTCGGGCACGGCGCACCCCCGGGCACCCCTCGGAAC